TTTCGTATGAACAAGTGAGGGAACCATCGCTCACTGGTAAACAATGGCACACTGGCTGGGAAGGGAGGCTGAGGCAGCTCAGAGCGTGAGTACGCGTCCAGGACGAAAGATGATTAGCGAGTCAACGGACCATTTGCGAGCCAACGTTTACCTGGAGAGAGTTCCGGGGGTCAACGCCCCCGCGGCCTGGTCTGTGACCAGGCGAAATAACGCAACGATTTCCGAAAAGGACGACTATCGAGCCAGACGATTGTCCGGCCTGAAAGTTGTCCATCTCGGAAATAGTCCCGTTATTTCGTCTAAACATTGGCTCGTAAATGGTCCATTAACTTGCTAATTGTCCTTTGTCCAGGACACGTACTCACGCTCTGAGCCTCCTGGGCCTGCCTTCCCAGCTAGTGTGCCATTGTTTACCAGTGAGCAACGGTCCCTTCACTTGCTCCTACGAAATATTTCATAATACAGTAGTCCCTCAATAATCATCCAGCCTGAAAGTTGTCCATTTCGGAAATAGTCCCATTATTTCGTCTAAACAATGGCTCGCAAATGGTCCGTTAACTCGCTAATTGTCCTTCGTCCGGGGCGTGTACTCACGCTCTGAGCGTCTGGGCCTGAATTTAAGAAAAACATCATTAAACAATATGAAAGTGGTGTAAGTGTGGGCGAACTGGCCAGGATGTATAACAAATCCCGTACAACCATATCTTCCATTGTGGCCAAGAAAAAACAAATCAAGGACGCTGTTGTTGCAAAGGGGGTAAATATGCTGACAAAAATGAGATCACCAGTACTCGAAGATGTTGAGAAGTTATTATTGGTGTGGATAAACGAGAAACAAATTAGCAGGAGATAGTCTTATGACGTCGCTTATTTGTGAAAAGGCTAGGCAGTTGCATGACGATTTGGTAAAGAAATTGCATGCAACTAGTGGTGATGTGAGTGAATTTAAGGCCAGCAATAGCTGGTTTGAGAGATTTTAAGAAGCGTACTGGCATACACAGTGTGGTAAGGCATGGTGAGGCTGCCAGTTCTGACAAAGCTGCTGAAAAATATGTGCAGGAATTCAAGGAGTACATAAGAGGCTAAAGGACTGAAACCTGAACAAGTGTTCAATTGTGATGAAACAGTCCTCTTTTGGAAGAAAATGCCAAAGAGGACCTACATTACTCAGGAAGAAAAGGCATTGCCAGGACACAAGCCTATGAAAGACAGGCTGATGCTCATGTTCTGTGCTAATGCTAGTGGGGATTTCAAAGTGAAGCCGTTATTAGTGTACCATTCTGAAAATCCCAGAGTGTTCAAGAAAAACAATGTTATGAAGAGTAAATTGTGTGTGTTTTAGAGATCTAATAAGTAAGGCATGGGTCACGAGGGACATTTTCGTCGAGTGGTTCAATGAAGTGTTTGGCCCTAATGTGAAGAATTACCTTTTGGAAAAGAAATTGGATCTCAAGTGCCTCCTAGTAATGGACATTGCACCTGCTCATCCTCCAAACTTGGATGACCTAATTCTGCAGGAGTTTGGGTTCATCACAGTAAAGTTCTTGCCCCCAAATACCACTCCTCTCCTCCAGCCCATGGACCAGCAGGTCATTTCAAACTTTAAAAACTCTACACCAAAGCAGTTTGAAAGGTGATTTAATGTGACCTCAGACACTCACTTGACCCTAAGAGATTTTTGGAAAGAACACTTCAGTATTCTCCATTGCATAAGGCTTGGAGGGAGTGACTACCAGGACTTTGAACTCTGCTTGGAGAAACTTGTGGCCAGATTGTGTCCACAAGAGGGATTTTGAAGGGTTTGAGGTGGCCCCTGATGAGCCTATGTCACTTGTGAACTCTGTTGTGGCATTGGGGAGTTCCATGGGGTTGGATGTGAGTTTGGATGATGTGGAAGAGTTGGTGGAGGACCACAATGAAGAGCTAACCACTGAGGAGCTGCAAGAGCTCCAGCAGGAAGAGCAACAGATCGCAGCTCAGAATCTTGCTGCAGAGGAGGAGGAAGAGAGATGGAAGAAGGTGCCTTCTTCAGAAATTAAGGAGATTTTTGAAATGTGGGGTAGGATGGAAAGATTTATGGAGAAACATCACTCTGAGAAGGATGTTGCAAGCCATATTGGCAACTTGTACAGTGACAGTCTTGGCCCATTTTACGGAAGTTTTAAAGAGACGCCAGAAACAGAGCTCTCTGGACAGTTTTTTTGTGAGGCAGGACTCCAGTGACTCTCAAGCTGGTCCTAGTGGCATTAAGAAACAGAGAAGAGAAGTAACCCCAGAAAAGCAATTGGTACCTGAGGTGTTGATGGAAGGGGATTCCCCTTCCAAACAGTAATTCAATCTCTCTCCTCCTCCAGTCTCCCATACACTAAGAAGAATCACCAATAAAGGTAAGTGTTATGCTGTTAATGTTTCATTCATCATGTGCCATTGCATTGTTTATGTACTACATCCATATTTCACGTAAAAAATTTTTTTGTTTTAATACTTCTGGGTGTCAGAAACGGTTTAATTGTATTTACATTATTTCTTATGGGGAAAATTGATTCGAAAATCGTCTATTTCAATAATAGTCCCACTTCCAGGAACGGATTTACGACGATAAACGAGGGACCACTATCATTTTTTTTAACACATTGACCGATTCCCACCAAGGCAGGGTGGCCTGAAAAAGAAAAACTTTCATCATCATTCACTCCATCACTGTCATGCCAGAGGGGTGCTTTACACTACAGTTATAAAACTGCAAAATTAACACCCCTCCTTCAGAGTGCAGGCACTGTACTTCCCATCTCCAGGACTCAAGTCTGGCCTGCCGGTTTCCCTGAATCCCTTCATAAATGTTGCTTTGCTCACACTCCAACAGCACGTCAAGTATTAAAAACCATTTGTCTCCATTCACTCCTATCAAATATGCTCATGCACGCTTGCTGGAAGTCCAAGCCTCTCGCACACAAAACCTCCTTTACCCTCTCCCTCCAACCCTTCCTAGGCCGACCCCTACCCCGCCTTCCCTCCACTACACATTTATACACTCTCGAAGCCATTCTGTTTTGTTCCATTCTCTCTACATATCCGAACCACCTCACCAACCCCTCCTCAGCCCTCTGGATAATAGTTTTGGTAATCCCACACCTCCTAATTTCCAAACTACGAATTCTCTGCATTGTACTCACACCACACATTGTCCTCAGACATGACATCTCCACTGCCTCCAGCCTTCTCCTTGTTGCAACATTCATCAGCCTGTGCTTCACACCCATACAAGAGTGTTGGTACAACTATACTCTCATACATTCCCCTTTTTGCTTCCACAGACAAAGTTCTTTGTCTCCACAGACTCCTAAGTGCACCGCTCACCCTTTTCCCCTCATCAGTTCTGTGATTCACCTCATCCTTCATAGACCCATCCGCTGACACGTCCACTCCTAAATATCTGAATACATTCACCTCCTCCATACTCTCTCCCTCCAATCTGATATAAGTCTTTCATCGCCTAATCTTTTTGTTATCCTCATAACCTTACTCTTTTCTATATTCACTTTTAATTTTCTTCTTTTACATACCCTACCAAATTCATCCACCAACCTCTGCAACTTCTCTTTAGAATCTCCCAAAAGCATCGTGTCATCAGCAAAGAGCAACTGTGACAACTCCCACTTTGTGTTTGATTCTTTATCTTTTAACTCCAGACCTCTTGCCAACACCCGAGCATTAACTTCTCTCACAACTCCATCTATAAATATATTAAACAACCACGGTGACATCACACATCCTTGTCTAAGGCCTACTTTTACTGGGAAATAATCTCCCTCTTTCCTACATACTCTAACCTGAGCCTCACTATCCTCGTAAAAACTCTTTACTGCTTTCAGTAACCTACCTCCTACACCATACACCTGCAACATCTGCCACATTGCCCCCTATCCACCCTGTCATAAAAATGTCTACCCACTCCGCCTATCCACCCACCTACTTGCCTGAGCGGAAATAACACGATATATCAAGGGGGTGGAACCCCCTTCCCCTCAAAAATATACCCGACTCCTATAATATCACTAATCATTAGTAGTGTTACTATAAAAAGAATTAGGAAAGGTTTTTACTTCTATACTGATGTTTTAAACTTCTTGTAGCCTTATATCTTCCTCATTATAGTAATAATAATAATTGTAGCCTTATAAATTTCCTTACATTTTTCAATAATGTATTTTAGTTGGTAGTCCATGATGCAGCACTTAGATATCTCTATTAGGAAGACATCTTGACAATCAGTGACTCTTAGTTCAGTATAGCAGTTATGTACTGGAGTCACTGGAAAATAAGGTAAGCAGCCTCTCAGCAATAATGGGCATTCAGTCTCTTAGCCTTCATTAATCTTAGGGATTGAACCCCTTTTATAAAGGCTGTGTGACTGATTGCCTCATCTTTATTGTCTTGAGCATGTTTTAGATCATAAGAATTCACCAGTTTATGTATTCTCTCCTTTCTCATAATAGTCCTGCAGACTAGTACAGCTTCTATTTGCTTAATGACAGAATCCCGTTCCTAAGACCACGTCAGTAAACGAATTCTTCACCAAGTGAGGACCATACTATAAGGGTTTGTGTCAACCATCTTTGATATTGTTTTAATGTCACCTTTGCACCATTTATAACATTTCTGGTATATTTAAATGTTTATACAGTAGTCTACTGAATATTGTAATAAACAGAATAGAGGAAATCATCTCTAATATACATTGTTTAGGTATGCATACTGGTCAGAGAGCCAGTCGTAAGTCTGAGGCGTCAGTAAATGAGTACATCACTAAGTGAGGAGAGGCTGTATTTGCTTTTGTATTCAACAACTCTTAATATTTATTGCAATTTTATTGGTCACTTGCAGGCATTAAAATACAGTATTTTATATAATTATAAGTGGTATTAAGTCTTAATAATAATACAGTAGTGTTTTAATGAGAAAAGTATATTTTTTAAAGTTTAGTTTCTTTTTCTTGACAGGGTTCCCTCACATACCCGAAAGCATTTCACATTGGAGGAGACAACTATGGACAGGCTGTTAAACGTAGTAGAGATAATATAGACTTCCTACTGAAAAAGAAAAATTCCATGCCAGTGGATGTGGCCCAGTGGGATTCCACTAGACTTCCTCTGAGAAGCCAGTGCGCTGATGTAATAATATCTGACTTGCCGTTTGGGAAACGTATTGGCAGCAAAGGGGATAATCGTGTCCTGTATTATCTTTCACTTCTGGAAATGGCAAGGATAACCAAAACAGATACTGGCCGTGCAGTATTGCTGACACACGACCGTAATAGTATGATCATGGTAAGTGACTTTCTTCTTCAGATAAACACTATTAAATGGTTATTGCCTCCTTTTTTGTTGTATTATTATTATAATTAAATAAAGCTCTAAACCGACGAGGGTTATGCAGTGCTGCAGGGCAAAAAATAGTGCCGGGGCTATAAACAGCTAGGTGTAGAGGGAATCAGAGGTGAGGGGAGGAAAGGGCTGTAAGGGGCACTAGGGGGTATGTGTCAAAGTACGTATATATAGTAAAGCAGTTGCTGACAAAAGTAAAAAAGTGATTGTAAGTCAAAGGCAGGGCCATTTGCAAGAAGGGAAGATAAGGTAAGAGCGGTAGGGCAGCAATGGGACGGATAACTGCTGAACGAACTTTAGGCCCTTGTAACCCGACACATACTGGGGAAAACTGGGAGAGCAACACCTGGAGCTCTCCCTGACGCCACGAATATTCCATTGTAAAAAAGTCATTGTTCACGAAGATAGGTATGCCAACAATGAGAAACGATAAAATCTACAGACTAGTAACGTCAGTGAAGTCAAAGTGTGGAGGCAATGGGAAGCATTTCAGCAAGGAGGAATCGGAATGCTGTGAAGGAAAAGATTGCTGCCAGGGCTGTGAAAAATAAGGTTTCGTCTCTGCAGTATAGTCAGAGATAGCATCAAGTGGTTTCAGTGAACAAGGAAGATGCCGATACCATGACTTCAGAGACAGGCGAGGTAGAGCAAGTAGAGATCGGGGAGACTATGGAGGGAACCAAAGAGGTCTGAGAGGGGAGGGGAGTACGAACCTGAAGAGATGTGCCGGTGGGGATAAAAGAGTCCTGCGGTGGAGCAGGAGAGGAAGGAGGCTGAAAGGGAACTGGGGGAGAAGTCTGGGGGGCACAGGAGAAGAGGGGACCAAACGAGGGGGGTGAACCTCCATCTTCGTGTGAGAGTTAGAAATGGGGTGAGAACTAGGTACTGAGGCTGAAAAGGAGAACTGCTGGGGAATTGTAAGCACCGGAGGAATGTGAAGAGACTTGGGCTTAGGAGACAGGTTCAACTTCGCAGTTGATAGCGGCAAAGAAGGTGCAGGTGTGCAAAGCCTCACAGACTGAGAAACTAGTAGGCGAGATGAAGAAGTAGAAGTAGGAAGAGGTACAGAGGTGGGGGTTTCAGAGGGTAAAACTGCAAAAGAATTAGAGATGGGGATGACCCTGAAAGACATTGCACCAGACAAGCTGGTAATGGGGGGGACTGTCAAGGTTGGAGGTCTCCTAGCTACTTGAGAATAAGAAACACGACGAAGATTCCCATGATGGCGGAGCCGAGAGACAGCCATAGCATAAGGAAGGCCTTCACTCTCCTTAAGACGACGGATTTCACGTTCATTAAGATAGATGACATCGGCGGGAAAAAGAAGGATGAGTTTCATTGTAAGTAAGACAAGTGGGAGAAAGACTGCAAGATGTATCGGCATGATCTATTGCTCCACAGACCGGGCACCCCGCCACAAACCTGCAGTATTTAGTGGGATGTCCGAAGCACCAACAATTTTAACACTGTTGGGGTGTAGGGACCACTTTATGGACCCCTAGGCGATGTCCCACGATATAAACGGAGGATGGGAGTTCATGGCAGTTGAAGGTTAAGCAGGCGATGTTACTGGGAAAGGCAGGACATATGTATCCACTTTGAGAATCAGAAGCTAATGGAGGGCTAATTATTCTAAAATATCATCACCGCAGGATAGATCACACTGTACAATGGTACGCGGTAAAACCACCGTATCACTGCAAGAATCGAGAGTAGCATGCTTGTGAACTGTGATAGGAACGTTATCGATAGAAGTAAGGTGGGAAAGATCATGAACTTGATCTGCATTCTAAATGTATCAATGTGCGCACTGCTCTGAAGAGCATGAAAGGATATATTTTGGCCAACATATCATAAAAGAGCTTTACCAATTTACGAATACAGTGGACCCCAGGTTTGCGATATTAATCCGTTCCTGAGAGCTCATCGTAAACCAAAATTATCGAAAAGCGAATCAATTTTCCTCATAAGAAATAATGGAAATCAAATTAATCCGTGCAAGACACCCAAAAGTATGAAAAAAAAAATTTTTACCACGTGAAATATTAAGTTTAATGCACACAAACTGAAGAAGACATGCACAGTTTGTAGTACTCTACTAACAATAGAATACATGACACTTACCTTTAACCCTTTCAGGGTCGACAGGCCCTCTCAGAGACTTGTTCTCAGGGTTGGCCAAATTTCAAAAAAAAAAAAAAATATTTTTTCTTATGAAAACAGAGAATCTTTTCCCGGTCATAATGACACCAAAAGTATGAAATTTGATAGAAAACTTATGAAATTATGCTCTTGTGAAGTTAGCGGTCTCGACGATGTTTGCGCATCGGTGATTTTGCTCAATTTCAACCCTATTTTCCGCCAATTCCAGTGTACTTGTCGACAAAAATCATAACTATTTCGCTAGGACTCCATTTTTTCTATCGAATGAGTACAAGAAACCACCCATTTACCGATTTCAACTATCCAATACAGTGGTCAGAATTTAGCAATTTTGCCAATTTCACACAAATTTCAAAACATGCCAATTTCCAAATAGGGTCCAGAATAAACAAGAAAGACATTCCTGGAACTAAAATAACATTTCCTCTGTTCATTAGTCATGTCCCCATGCCCCTTTTACATTCTTTTGCTTTCCGCTTTGAATTTTTATTCTCACAAAAAAATAGAAGATTTACTGTTATGCAGACTACTGCATTAGTGTAGAAATGGTATAAATAATATCAGCTCACTTGTGAAAGAATATTAGACTCACCAGTTGACGTGTATTGGACGCATAACATGATTTGTTTACTTTTGAACTTTGGTAAAAATCGAACATTTCTGCTGCTTTGAGCTCAATTTCAAGGTACTTTTCTTTGTAAAATCAGTCAAAATCATCTCAATTTCTGTAATATGTCTTCCATTCTATAAAATGAGACCAGGAAAACTAGAATATAACAATAAATACCATACGAAAATACAGTGCAAAGTCGCTGTTTTAATACAAAAACACGGTCAAAGTTTTTTTTTTCTCATTACGCACTGTGTGCTGCAGGATTTTTTTATACCACACTCACTGACCAAAGAACCATTTTTCTATTGGCCTACCAGCTTTCTTCAAAATTTGAGGGTGAAAAATTTTGGCGTACTAGTCATAAAAACCCCCTGCGTAAGCCGTACTAGTACGGCCGAAACCCGAAAAAGGGGTTATGAAGATTGGTGATGATTGATGGGGTGGGATGGGGGAGAGTGTGAACTTATTTTTTTAGAAGGGGTTTTCCTTCCATTAGGACTTGAGGTAGCAATCCTTTTCCGGGTTATTCCCTTTTTTTCAATGCCACTTAGGGCCACTTTAGAGTCACTGGACCCCTGGCGCACAACCCAAATTTTTATAGGCCCGTACCTCCCATTCCTTTACGATTTGTCTAAATGGGCCCCAAAATTTTTCATTGTAATAGTCCGCATGGTTGCAATAGCTGTGTTAGGGTGATTTTATCCATAAAGGGTTTTCAGTTCAACCCCTTTGCACACATTTCCCTTAAAATTTTTAAGTGGCACAATGGATTCCATAACTGGGGTAGCCTTTCAGGGTTGCCCAAACCCTTCAAAATCTTTTTTATTTCCAATAATTCTACCCTTTTTACCACAGGGTTGGGGACTAAAGCTTTCTTGGGGGGCCCCTGGTGACTTTTTTTGCAGAAACAAGCACCAAAAAACTGGTAATAGGAATGTACTGAATGTTCTTTAGTGCGGCACACTGGGTGGCTTGTAAACATGGGCCCCCAAAAGTGGACAGTCTGGATGAATCGCGTGTGGCGGATTTTTTAACGAGAGCTGAGGCAAAAATTTTTGCGTTAAAATGTTGAATACCGGTTTTATCAGATCGATGCCATCACAAACCGGGGGTCCACTGTACTGTGGTCTAAAAGATAAACAGGTTTTGAGATGTCGGTTGTAGGGAAAAGAATTTGGTCCCTGCGTACTCAAAATGGTTGTGAAAAAAGTGGGTGCCGTGTGGTTGTTTCTGGGGGGAATGAGAGAAATCGAAGGGGGCTATCATCAGAAAGGGTCTGGAACATTTAGGCATAGGGGCCGCAGGAGCCCTCCCAGGCAGGTTGGTGACCAGGACTTGTTCTAGGGGTTGCCCAAATTTAAAAAAAAAAAAAAAAAAAAAAAATTTTTTCTTATGAAATGATAGAGAATCTTTTCCCAATCATAATGACACTAAAAGTATGAAATTTGATGGAAAACTTACGGAATTATGTTCTCGCTAAGTTAGCGGTCTCGACAATGTTTACACATCGGCGATTTTGCCCTATTTTTGGCCAATTCCACTGTACTAGTCGACAAAAATCATAACTATTTCGCTAGAACTTCATTTTTTCTATCGAATGAGTACAAGAAACCACCCATTGACAGATTTCAACTATCCACTAAGGTGGTCAGAATTTAGCAATTTTGCCAATTTCACACAAATTTCAAAACATGCCAATTTCCAAATAGGGTCCAGAATAAATAAGAAAGACATTCCTGGCACTAAAATGACATTTCCTCTGTTCATTAGTCACATCCCAACGCCCCTCTTACATTCTTTTGCTTTCCACTTTGAATTTTTATTCTCACAAAAAATAGAAGATTTACTGTTATGCAGACTACTGCATTAGTGTAAAAAATGGTATAAATAATATCGGCACACTTGTGAAAGAATATTAGACTCACCAGTTGACATGTATTGGATGCTTAGCATGATTTGTTTACTTTCGAACTTTGGTAAAAATCAAACATTTCTGCTACTTTGAGCTCAATTTCAAGGTACTTTTCTTTGTAAAATCAGTCAAAATCATCTCAATTTCTGTAATATATCTTCCATTCTATAGAATGAGACCAGGAAAACTAGAATACAATAATAAATACCATACGAAAATACAGTGCAAAGTCGCTGTTTTAATCCAAAAACATGG